AGAACATTCTGGGACAACTGTCAATCTTAAGAATGAACAAGACTGCTCTGATGCATACTTGCTAAATAGGGAGAGGCGAGAAAAAGATCCGGGGACGTTGTCTGTTCTCGGTCTGCTGTTCTTGTGAATTGAAACATTACCATGGCTGAGGCTGATTGCGTTTCACGAGTACACGAGCACATGAGAATGCACAAGTTCACATATAGAGAAATGGCCATACTGTACAGCAGCAGAGTGCTTGCCTTGAAAGGTTTAGGGCTCTACTATAACATTAAGAATGTTGTGTTGTGCCGTTGTTAGGAACATAGATGCAGAATTGTTTGCTTAATTGTGTAAAACAGAAATAGGTTAGGGCAATGGCGCAAAGAGGCTAATTGACCCTGAGCCATTTAAGCTCATACGATGCTAAGGAGCTTGAATGGACACTATAAGTTTTAAAAGATGGTTGTATTTCAATTAATACTAATATCTGTAATAATTCTACAGCAATATTTTAATGAGATAATATGCTCTCATCTTCTTTGTTTAATATTTCTTGAATCCCTTTGTCCTCCACTTCACATTCATGTGACTGGCACTACTCAGTGAATGGCTTTCATCTGACAAACCTGCATTTTGACCATATTCAGTTTAGCTAATGTTCTGTGAAAAATCTATTAATCCACAATCACAAAGTTCATTCTTTTTCACATTATATTGTTATCTAATTGCTCTTTGTGCCTCTTCCATCACATTCATTTCATTCTTCTCTCCATATTGTACCCTCACATTCCCCATTCTGCTTCTGTGCTTAAACTCGTATGGCAATTTATCTAAGACTGCTCACTGCAAAATCCAGTCTCCTTCTCTGCAGAAAGACTTCTGTTTAAAAAGCCTATTTATATTTCACACTATACACCATTCAATTAGATACAGCAGTGCACAGTGTTGATTTCTCATTTTCCTGTTGTGTATGTGATTGCATCTTTTTTTTTTTCTTCTTTTGCGAACCACAAAGGGAACTAGACTTAGGGAAGCTAAATGGTAAAAAATCAAATTCTCTTAATGAGTTGATTTAATATCCCATCTCTCATATACAGAAACCAATTTCATAAAATGTTCCTATTTATTCAAAAGTACACAAATTACTGCAGAGTATTTGAACTGGTTTCCATGGCAGCAGGGAAGGCCATGACCCAAATTTAGATCTTTCAGATCAGATATGAAAATGTTCTGTGCATGTGTGCTTGTGTCAATGATTGTGCGCAGATGGTTTTGTGCACATGGCCCCAAAATATTACGTCTTTTTTTCTTCCTTGTTGACTCATACAGAGAAGCAAACAATCCTGCTTGGCACTAAACTTTTTTTTTTTTTTTTTTCTTCGTTTTTTTTTTTTTTTCATCTGTTTGTCTCTGGCCAAAAAGAACCTACAAACATCGCTGCTTTTTATTTCTAAAAAAAGACAAACTGCTAACAACTAATTTAGGTTTCCTATACATATTTGTTTCTGGCTCTTTAAATATGCTATTATTCTGATCTTTGTGTGCTTTTGTTAGTACAAAATGCAAATAGCAACTGCTTTTTTAGTCTTTTACAATGTTGGTATAGCATGAGTGAAAAAGCATGGGCACACTAGTAAAAAAAATATGTTTTTAGACTAAAAGCTTTCACTGTGTGATTATGTGCTAAGCATTGAAAACAGTAGGGCGTTTGATTAATAGTGCAGAGAGTAAGGCCTTGTAATTAGTCTCTTGTGTTTTGGATTGTTACAAAGTCAAGCATGTAAAGTTTTTCCTGATGTTTATTCAAATTATAACATATTTTATGTACCTCCCTTTGTATTCCTGGAAACCTTTTAATGGATGAGGACTGTATTTTACATCAACATTAGCAAGGGTGGATAATCAAGGTCCAGAAAGTAAAAACCTTTTACAGAGATAATTTCCACCACTTGTATTTCCAGCATTATAACACAGACTGGGGGCTAATCACATAGTTAAGTGAACAGAAAAAGGAAAAGCTAGGCATGATTTTTACTTTCTTGACCTTGATTATTCACCTCAGAATATTAACAGAGAATCTTTGCAGTAGGTGATTTGCTGGTCAAGGCCACACTGCCTGAGGTTTGTTATTATTTTCAATGATACAGTATATTTTTCAGGTATTTCTTCAGTAGATCTGGAAATGGTTAAGGAGCATTTGAAAGGATGTTTGCTGATTTAAGGGAGCACCATAAGAGTTGATTAGATATTAAAAACTCTAACGTTTTGGCTTTATTAAGGTGGAAAAAATTAAATTTCAATTTAAATTCAATTCAATGAGTTCTCACAATCATGCTTTTTAATATGGGGTAAAAAATGTTGGATGAGGTTTTTGCCTTAAGTGTGCAATATACACTTTTCAAAAAAAATTAAAGGAACACTTTGTAATCAGAGTATAGCATCAAGTGAATTAAACTTCTGGGATATTGATTTGGTCAGGTAGGTAGCAGAGGGGTTTTGTTAATCAGTTTCAGCTGCTTTGGTGTTAATGAACTTAACAACAGGTGCACTACAGGGGCAATAACGAGATGATTATCAAAACAGGAATGGTTTTACAGGTGGAGGCCACTGACATTTTCCCCCTCCTCATCTTTTCTGACTCCTTTTCACTAGTTTTGCGTTCGGCGAGGGTTACTGTCACCACTGTTGTTGCTAAGCTACAGACATAATAGCCAAATGTATTTGTGGCAATAACTTGTGATTTTAATCACACCTAATTCTCTTCTCATTGCCAATGTTCCACCCGTTTGTCAACTGCTGTACCAGAGAAAACAAAACCATGGACTTGTTTTATGTAAATATCAAGGACTCATACATCTCTGAAGTAAGACCTCCTCTTTGGAAATCAGATCACAATCTTGTTTTTTCTCTGCTCAAAGTATAAACCACTACATAAGAGACAGCCTGCATTAAAAAGAACAGCAAGAAGACGGTCACAGGAAGCTGTAGAAGCCCTGCAAGGTTGTATTGAGGCTACAGACTGGGATGCACTGTGTCAGCCACATGTAGAGGACATCGATGCAATGACTGAGTACATAAACTTCTGTGTAGATAACATCATCTCTACTAGAATAGGGAAATGCTTTCTAAATAATAAACCATGAATCACAAGTGACCTGAAGCAGCTGTTCAGCAAGAAAAAATACGCCTTTAAGAAGGTAGACGGTGAACTAATGAGTAGTATACATACAGTAAGCAACTTAGAGTCATGATAAAAGAAAGCAAGGAAGCATACAGGAATTGGCAAACTCCAGCAGCCCAATATGGGAGATGTGTGGTTGGGGATGAAGAAGATCAAGCAGGTTTCAAGCAGAAGGATAATCAGACAGATGGAAGTCCGGACAGTGCCAATGAACTTAATACATTCTTGAACAGGTTCAGTATGGGAACAAGCTCAGCATCGATCTCTTTTGCCCACAGTCACATGGACATCTTGTCCTCCGCTGCCATTAATGCTTCTTCTTCTTCTATGAGTTTATCAAAATAGAATATAGCGCTGCTACCTCCACCGTTCACCTGTCTGTCTCTAAAAGTCAAGTGATTGATTGATTGATTGATTGATTGATTGATTGATTGATTGATTGATTGATTGATTGATTGATTGATTGATTGATTGATTGATTGATTGACTATTGATCTCATAGTGGGGAAATGTACTTGTTACATCAGCCTAAATAGTCAAAGAAGAATGTGCCAAAGGAAGAAAAAGGTGCATGGGATATATGCAGTAAATACAGTGTGTCCACATATGACAGCATCGTACAGGGTATCAAATAGTAATTGCACATTATACATTGCACAAGTTATTGCTGTTGTAGTGTTGCATTATAGAGTCTGGTTGCAGCATGGATGAATGACCTGCGGTAGTGCTCCTTTTTACAAACAGGATGTGAACGTCTTACTCTAAAGGAGCTGTTCAGCTCCTCTACAGTCTGCTGCAGAGGGTGGAAGATGTTGTACATGATGGATGTAAGCTTGGACAGCACCCTCCTCTCAGCTGCTTCCTCCACTGAGTCCAGATTGCAGCCTAGGACAGAAGCGGCTTTTCCCACTAGTTTGTTCAGTCTCTTTCTGCCCCACTCTGCACTGCCAGGGGCCCAGCAGACAACAGTGTAGAGGAAGGCTGATGCCACCACAGGTCATAGAAGGTTTTAAGCAGGGGCCTCCACACTCCAAAGGACCTCAGCCTTTCTTATACAGGGTGTCTGTGTTATGAGTCCAGTCCAGTTTGTTATTGGCATTAACACTCAGGTATTTGAAACCCTACACGGGTTCTATGTCCTGCCCCTGGATGTTCTTGGGGGACTGAGGTGGGGGTCTTCTCCTGAAGTCGATCACCATCTCTTTGGTCTTAAGGGCTGTTTATACTCCTTCAGGAGTGTATCGCAGTAAGCTTGTCGCAGGTACAATGCAGATATTTTTGATTTATGCCCAATATTGAAGCGTGGTCTGCGCTATGTAATTCCACACCACAACGCAAGAGGGATAATCACGAACTAGCTGTGGGTCTAGATATGGCCGAGGCGGTGAGGAAGTGGAAAAATGCAAAGGGCAGTTTTGTGCGACAACGGAGGAACATAAGGGTAAGAAAGAGCGGCTCTTCTCTGTCCCCTGGGTTGAAAACCCTTTTTTTTCTAGTTCAGGAGGACTTTCAGCTCAGGAATCATCCAGGGGTGGTTGTTTGGGAACCTGTCATGTGAGCACCATGCTCTCCACACAGAAGCTTATGTAGTCGATGATACACTCACTCAGGCTGTTGATGTCATTACCATGAAAGCTTTGGAACATGCTCCAGTCTGTGGTTCTGAAACAATCCCTCAGTTTCTCAGTGGTATCATCTGACCAAGGGGCAACTGGAGAGTTCATGTTCATGTTCATTACAGGTGTTATCTTGTGTTTATTACAGTGTAATGTCAGTCTTATCCACACCCCTTCAAATAAACTGTTACCCATATTTTGTTTTATAATTTCTTTTTCAGGAACATTGTTGGTGGAGAACATGCAGATCAACGGTGTGGCTGAGGGTCCAGATCATACCATTTCTTTGTCTCTAAGAGACAACCACGACTACTGGGTGATTCTTGACCCTGCCAGGCAGGCTCTTTACCTAAACAGCACTGGACGAGTTCTTGACAGAGATGTAAGAAACACTTCTATGATAACTGTTTCAATGAGGTTTCTTTGTTTCTTAATTTATTATGTATTGCCATTATGGGACAGATCATTGTTTGCAGAATATTTTCTGATCAGTGTTTTCTAAGATTTTTTTTTTTGGCAAATATCATGACAGATTTTCTTTTTCTGATTATTAAAAATAGAAGAATATTTCATATATTAATTCTTTGTCTCTGTAAAATCTTACGCTGTCTTAATTTTACATTTAGAAATATATTGTGCTCATTTTTAAATATAAAGAATATTTATAGACAGACAAGAACTTTTGAATTTATCTTGTTTGAAGTAAAAGCGGAATAAAAAAAAAGGGGGAATTCCACTCTAAGACTGTTGAAGAAAATATCCATAGCTGCTGCATCTTTGTTTAAAGGCTTTATATCATGTTTAAGTCTTCTATTCAGGTTTAGCCATCTATATAACAATGATAGCGAATAGTGATAACACAATAAAGATAACAGTACTGTCTTAAAGGTACTGCGGAGACCCGCCCTCTGCGTGTGCAAGAGCATGCACAGGCCCATTTTTCCTCGTGCACGTTCTGTATAAAATGTGCTTTTCTCATAGCTCATACAAGCTTACTGTGTCCACATACAGCAGGGACTAAATAGTGGGCTTTACATGTATAGCAAACTAAGTTAACTGACCATTTGGACAGGTGATCACTGCTTTTTACTCCCGTTGGACATGTTCTCCTCCTCCTCCTCCTAATGGTGCTTGCGCAATCTTTGTTATTAGTCGCCACTATCAGGTTCAAAAGAACTACAGTGAGAAAGATGAGCTTCAATGACTGTCTGAAACAGTAGCTCACCACACATATGTGGCTGAAATTGCGCATGCACAGAAAAAGATAGTTAATGGGGCAAGCACGTAGGACGGTCTTAGGTAAATATATCACCAGAATGATTGACAATCAGGAGGACTATTTATTTGAATGATCCACCCAGAAAGAAAATCGTCCTCTATACCTTTAAGTTAAAGACTTCTCTAGATCCAGGCCAAGAGAGACCACTACAAGAGATCTTTCCTGACTACTGCAGGTTCTTTCAAGAACTTGCTACAAAATACAATGAGTTGTATGAGTTAATACAACATTTAATTTCCCTTTGGGATTAAAAAAAGATACAGTTTTTGGATGCCACCTATTTTAAACACTGCCATATCATGTCACTTTTGGCAACAAGGCTCCTTCCCACAGAAGGGCTATACAAAGTCAGAGGCATCTCAGTCAAAACCATTCACAGTTTCAAAACTGGGACATTAGCTAAAAAAGAGCAGTTGCTGTCAACATGCAGATTAGAACTAATAGAGCCATTTTGTTTCAACGTTCCACAAAAAATACACCACCCCAACTCTAATACATTTCATATTTTTCTTCATAAATTTATTAAAATTTCATAACTTAATTAGCTAAAATAATGAACAGTCTACCTAACATGACACCAATATCCTAATTAGATTTTTATTTTAGTTAACAAAACATTTCTCATTTCATGCATGATGGTGTGCAGTGTAGTGAAAGTCTGTTTTTCATGTCCAGATGATTACCCCTTTGTCACAACTGCCTCATCTCAGATTAAAATGGCAGTTAAGTTGTACAAAATGATCAGGACTGAAGTCCTGAGTATTAAATGAATGTTCATATGGATTCTAATACATTTTAAAATTTCTTCGGTTTTGTTTAGTTTATTACCCAGAATTTTTTCACCTACTATAAATGCAATACTAACAAATGCTTCTTTCTAGTGTTAACATGTTTTGCATAGAAAATGTGCAGTTTTTTATCTGGTCTGTAGAGCAGGAACATTTTTTTCCAGAAGCCTTTTAGTGTGTTGTTGTCATCTACTTGACTTTGCCTTTGTATACCTTTTTTAAAGTTCCCAAAGATTAAATCTCCTTCAGAACAATACTGGTGATTTGTTGTGGCAGATTCTATCAGATAGATAATGTTATCTGTAGGCCTAATACATTTTGAGACCTAAAAAGGTTCTTTATTTTAATTAAAACTTAAAGAATATGTCTAATATTTGCAAATAGTTCCGAGTTGTTGCATTGTCGTTGACTGTGAAACAAAGAGAAGGCAATTATAGTTTAGATTACTCTTAAGGAAAGTAAACTTATAGAATAAAATGTCTGCAAACTTTGGGTCTACAATTTATCTTGGTGGCAGTTACTCATACGGAAATTGTTGCAAGTATTTTGTGTTTTTCAATTTCAAAGCAAATTGGCATAGGTATATTTATTATCTATCATATGAAGAGAAAACTTGATATCAGAAAAGCATTTTTATGGTTCTCTATCTAACCACTATTCCCATTTTAAAGAACTCAAAGTCCATCTTCTCTGAAAAGAAATAGAGTCTGCTGCTTCAGCTGTATTTTCATTAGCTTTCTCTAAAAATTAGCTAATTAGCTAATGTTTTTAATTTTTTAACTCTGCATTGGTTTCTCATTTATATTCCTGTCTCTCTTTTTCAGCCACCTTCCTATATTCAGTCCATCGTGGTCGGGGTTCAATGCACCAATGAGTTGATTGGCACAGTGATTTTGCATGAGGTCCGCATCGTTGTACGAGATCGCAATGACAATGCACCACATTTCCAGCAGCCTCGTTACTATGTCGCCATCAGTGAGGTAAAAACCTTTAAATTATTTTGCGAAAACTGTCACTTTATGGTGTGTTGGAGAGTTACTCATATTTTCATTTTACTTTATGTTACAACCACAATTTCTATTGTATTTATTTGGGATTTTAAGCAGTTAACCAACACAGACTAGAGAGTTATTTGTTTATGTTTGAGGTAGCCAATTTAAATTGACAATTTTTTTTATTTATATGATCAAATGATAGCAAATGTTTTACAAGTCTCAATTTAAAAAAAAAAATCCTTTATTAACACTAACATTGTGCACTATTATTGGCCAAGAATATGCAGCCGGTGTGTCGGTCTGTCTCCAGCATATTTGTGACAGAGGAAAACTGAAATGTTGGAGAGCGTTTAAAAGTTAGTTGTTTGTCATTCTTTTCTTTTTTTATTATTCAACCCTAGTATTGAAATTATAATGCAATGCAGCAGCTATAGGTCTCAGAGACGTTCTCACATCTTCCAGCTAAAAATCTGTATTCTTTCTTCTTTGCAAAATAGTTTAGGCTTCAGTAAAGACAAAAATAGAAACCAAAGTGGTCACAAAACTGTCATGAATGGTACAGAGACATGAGGCATGGAACCGCTCTTAACTATTCAGGTAATACCAAAATGAAAAATTCTTATTTAAAACCTAAGAAAAAATAAACTCCAAACAGTGAAGATTGTTAAAAGTAATGAAAATCTATACTTATGTAAAGATCACAACCAAAAAAAAAGAGAAAAAGACATATTAGAGTAAATTAGAGACTTTAAACGACCCCATCATGATTCTGTGAGTGAAATATTTATAGAAGCAGCAATGTTTATGCATCAATAAACAAGGCTTTGATGCATGAAATCTTGCGTCAATAATTTTCCATAATCAAAATTGTTGATCAACTAATCATTGCAGCCCTAATGAGTAGTCCTGACAGTTGTGACTGCCTTAATGTGAATAAATTAGGGAAACCAAAGAATGTATGCCTCTAGGTGAGATTATGAAAAAAGACCTTCAACACAAATGTTTTTTTCAACTCCCACTGAGGTTTTTAAGGGGAATATATGACCTAAATGCTACCATTAAAGCACAAAAAAGACCACTAACATGCTTTTCTTTCCTCTTTTTTTTTGGTCATTGTTTCTATAACTTAAAGCTAAATAGAAAAGGTTCGGGCAGATAGGGAAAATCTGTTATTTCGTGACTTTTAGAATAATCTTCAATTTGACAGTTTGTCCCCTGGCGTCAGGGGAAGAGGAATTCAACAAGAAGAAGTGTAAACTTAGACTGGACATGGATGCACATACCTTGCTGCTAGCACAATTTTAGGCGCACTAAGAAAAAATATATCATTATACTGTCTTCCTTAGCCTGTCAAGCCTAATCTGTCCTCTCAACTTGTTTTTGTTTCACATTCTCTGCTCCTTTGCAGTATTCCTTTCCCTCCTTCTATTTATCATCTCTCATTACTCTAGGCTTCTCACTGTTTTTGTTCCCTAACACAAACATACTGTAATTGTTTTTTTCTCCTCTCCACCAACACCTATGAAGGTTCCAAATACAGGTTTAGGAAGGATTTTACTCAATACACTTGCATTGACCAGGGATCGGTTGAAAAATCACATTTACTGAAAACTCTAAGTCTTTTAAACCTGAAACCAGGGAAACTCATGAGTTTTCCTTTTCATAAAGACAGTTTACTCAACCTCTGTTTATGTTCCTGTCGTAACATTCTCCCCAGAGTTAACCTGGTCGGGAGAAAGTTTTGTTCAATAAACTCAGTGTCCTCTGTCTCTGCTCTCCTTATAGGCAATCACGTTGTTTTTTTTTAAAAATGATTTTGCAAGGAGATTTTTGTCTAAGCTTTGTGCAGACAATAAGGAAAAAAAATCATTCAGCAGGTCTGTTAGACACATTAGGCTTTATAAACATTGCTTGTCCTTTTGATGAGGATCTTATTAAAGAGTAATCTGCATTAATTAACAGAAAATTAAATATTTATAGGGAGAGGATTCTACATTAACATGATATAAGTTATTTTTTTGTTTGTTTAATATGAGAGACATGTAGTTATTATTTTATTTTGTTTACAATACACGAAGAACTGCTGAAATTATTTTCAGATTACACGTGAATACATTAATTAAATCCACAGAAAAAAAGGAATTACTTTAGGATTAGGATTTATTCTGTGATATCAACCTACTGAGGATACTGAGAGGTACATAGGAAGCACAACCTGAAGCCATTCTGTAATCGATAACTGCTAATAGTGTCCATTTATTGGAATAATAACATCCAAAGCGGCTGCCACCAGCCACTTAGTATTTACTGTGTGTTGGAAGATAGAATCAAACTGAGGAGGAACCCAAGACATGATCAAGAGGTCCTACCTCTTTTTATAGTTCATCCTCATTTGCTGCCAGATGTTTTCACTTGAATCCCTATCATTCACCCAGTAAACTAATTTTTAAGTTTACAACAGGCTATGGCAGGACGTTTTGATATGTATAAGTTTGACTGAATTTATATTTCTGATATCTTGAATACATCTTTACTTTGTCAAAATTACCATTTAATACAACATGACATTCTTCATATATAAATAAATATTCTGGAGAAATTAATTTCCAATCTCCTTATTCCTATTGTTACTGGTCATCATTTGTATTATTTTGACTATAATGAAATATATTTTAAGAAATCATAAATATATATTCATTAATGTATCATTTTGTATGCATTCATCATAAATGTCAAAACGGCGACCTAGAATGTGAAAAGATTTCTAGGTATATAAAACTTAATTCTTAATAGTACAGTTTTGTTTTTTGTTTTCTGAAATTCAGTATCTGCTGCAAAAATGTAATTTAGAAAAGCTGTTATTACAGTTCCAATGAGGAATATTATTTTGACCAGGAAGAATGTTACTTTAGTAATCTACAAATGGAGCAAATGAGAGGATAGAGCTTCTAATAAATGTCAAAACAGTCTGCCATATGAACATTAACTTTAGCAGAAATCTTCTCCTTTGCCATCTTCCTCTCCTTTATAGCTGTAGCAATGTTTTTGTCTTTTAATAATATTTTGTACTTTTTTTTCCATTTCTGCATTAAATTGTCTAGTTCCAGAGGTGGAAAGTAGACCCTTCCTGTTTCCTGTTGTCATGGTGACTCGTCAAATCAGGGCTCTACTGATGATAGCATTTCATAATTATTGTTATGAACATGTCAAACTCTGAATGGACTGACTTAGAGTTGATAAATGTAAATTGCAGCAGCTTTTCTGAAACTGAAAACTCAGACTAGATTAATTGAGAGTTGAGGATTTTACTTTGTTAAACCTGCTTTGTGAAACGGCCCATGCATGCAATTTATGAAGTTCCTTATCCTGATTATCCTTTTTACCAAGTTAAGCCAAGATCATTTCAATTTTTTTTATCTGAAGCTGTAACTTTAATTAAAATATAAGCAGTTCTATAATAACCATGGTATTTCTTTGCATTTTTATTCAATCATTGTTCAGATTAGTCTGACATCTTAAAACATTGTTTATTACAACTGCTAACAGAGCTGAGACTGCCTAATAAAATAAATGTGCGCGTAAGGAGCTCATTCTTTATCCATTTCCAGTCATGTTTAACCATCAATATTCTGTGCCAAAATATAGCAGATTTCAACATAAATATTTTTTTTTTTTCAGTTTGTGACATAAACAATATCATTTTATTCATATGAACCGGCAAGGCAATTTTACACAATTAAAGCACTCTCTTAGTGAATGTAAGAGATTGTGGCTAATGTGGTGGAAAAGAGATAGAGTATAGTTGTGTACCATCAGCACAGATATATTATCAGAATCAGAAAACTTTAATCATCCCCACAGGGCAATTTAAGGGGCAGTGCAGCATTGCAAAAGCATGACAAAGATTTCAAGCAAAGCGACAATTAAAGAGAAAAAGCTGGTAAGGAAATGGGGTGGAAAGCAGCTTGGAGAAGAGGAATGTAAGCAAGAAGAGGAATGTAAGCAAAATGCCAAAATATGTTGCAGTACTCTTTAATCTGAGTTAGGCTGAAAAGTAAGATGATCAATTCTTTTGGCATGAGAATGGCTCCTTGAGGAACCTCATGTGTATTTCATTTGTATATCTTTCTTTGTTTTTAGGTTAGCAACAATCATTTACGCCCATCTTATTAATTCATCACTGTGATCCAATAAAACAGGGCACATTTTTAATGTACAACCCCAGTGCTCAGACCACCATGCTAAAAATATATTTATATTTATTTAATTTTAGGGAATCTGCGTAAATGATATTAAATATGACTGCTTCCTGCATTTTTCAGTTTAGTTTGTCAATTCTTTTAAAGTACCATGCCTCATTTTCCCTCCATATTAGTTGGGATTTCCTCATTAAATTCCCATGAAGTACTTTAATGTTAGTGCTAATAAAAAAAAAAAAAAAAAATGGAAATAAGTATAAATATCCCACTATCAGTGTGTAGAAAAGCCAATTTTAGTTTCTCACTATCGGATGTCGACACACCCCTGGGCAAGGTGCTTAACTTTAAGTTGATTGCCGATCTATGAATCTGTATGTATGTGCCTGTGCTTGAGTGAGCAAAAAGCACTTGATGGATGTTTGTTTACAAAACTTACTGCTTTAGATTATTTTGTTAAATATTTATCAGCAGTTTTGTAAGAGATTGAGTTGAGCTTTAACACCACACATTTCCAAATGTACCCTTTTAGTGAAAGAAAATAATTATATATGATTGGTCCTTTTTTAAACGTTTCTGTATTCGTTTTAGTATTGTTGGAACTTTTAGCATCGATTCAATGACAGTTTTTAATTTGTTAGCCTTGATGTAGCGATCCTAAACCCCAATTTGATCCTCTGTTAAGCCCCAAGGAATAGTTAACAAAGCCTTAAATGATCTAAATCTTTGCAGAACACTCAATATTTCTTTTCTATTTTCACTCTATATAAGCCTTTGGTTATTTTTAATTTAGAAGGCTGACCACTTACTCTGAAACAGCTAGACTACCCACTGGCAGTGGGCTTCTGAGGCAGAAATGTATATTTTACTGAGTGAAGTTTAAAACTTTATTCTTAGGGATTAGAGCCTTAGGTATGAAAAAATAGACTGATAAAATGTAACATCTCAGCGAATGTAATATACCCTGTCTTGTTTCAATTTAGCACCAAATTTTGCATCTTTGATCCAAACAAATAAAAACAAGCCATGAGCACCTCAAAAGAGAGGTGACAGGGCCGTGTTCTGCAAATCCATGTTTCTACATCCCAAGAACCACATTTCAACCACAGTAAGATAAAATGAGTGAAAGAGTTTTTCTTTATTGATATTCACATTTTTTTTATTTTTAGTTAATCTGCTTCTCCATTATGGCAAATTGTTGTGCTGTGGAGTTTTGTGGGAATGGTAAAAAATAATGTGAATATTTGCGTAAAACGCACTTCTTTGCTTCCCACTGCTGATTTCTGCTTTAGCTTAGAGATGTTCTAAAAATGCATGTTAAACAGACAAACATGCTTAAAGCTTTCTTGGAGGGATATCCAATTTGTCCTCAGTTATCATGTGCTGTGCTCATAATTGACTGACTAATGGCAATATTAACTAGCAGATTTTCTTTTAATTATTAAATTATGTCCTAATATCATAAACAAGCAAAGTACATTAATTGTTAAACCCAACCCAATGCTGTTTGTTCCCAGGTCATGAAGGATAACATTTAGAAGCATGCTTAAAATACCACAACATCAGAGCGCTATGCAGTTTGTTAATATAAAACAGTCGGTTGAAATAATAATGGAGCGTCGAAAAATAAATATTAAGGAAAATTATTTTCTCTCAAATGATATAAAAGAAAATAAAATAAAATTCAAAATAGACTTTAGGTCATCCAGAGTTTGCTGCATGTTGGACAGTTCATTCAATTCAGTTTCCAATATGGCTCTCAAACCTTCTAATATGTCCAGCGCAGTAATAGTTTGCAGTCTGCATATTAGCTGAAGATAGCAACTCTGTATTGGTTAAATAAAGTCATAAAAGAGTCATGAAATGTTCAACTGCAACCCCAATAAAACAAAAAAAAAATTGTGGCGCTTCGTGCAATTGTAATGCCAGAGTCCCTGCAGCAGCAGGTTATTACAAAATTGGAAAATTAACCAGTAAGATTGTCACTTGATTTTAAAGTTAAGCTTGTGGTGAACTTAACCAGGCTTATTGGTGGACATCTTTGAGTCATATAACAAAGTACCTGCTGTCGAAGTGGACCTGTGCACCGTTTTTGTCCCTAGTTGCTAGAGGGGTCTGAAAAGTCGCTAATTATAGTGACTATACGTTGGCAACAGTGGGCTTGCTGTGTGCTCTAAGAAAAGCAGTCAGCTTTTTCTAGTTGGTTTTTAGCTCTAGCATTCATGGAAGGAGCTGATTTAATTCAGTCTCTGCCGGATCTCTGATTCTAGGACTTTCCTTTGAAACTCAGAGAGGGAGAGAAGTGTAGGTAGATTGTTCTGAGCTATCTGGTTCTTTGAAGCAGCTCTACTCAACCTTAGATTACAGTCTGAAGAATGAGGTCCCTTTAAGCAGGGAAATTGTCTCCCAAGTTGTGACCTGGCAAGTCACAGTAAAGATAAAGAGGTGTGGATGAGCAGGATTTTATATACTGCCAGGGGTGTAAGTGGTTTTAAAATCTTGCCATTAAATACATTTAACTCACTCATGTTATTTTCTTACAGCCTTCATGCCTTTTGTAAAATTATATTTTTTGGGATATTGACCAATATAAATTAACAGCATTTTTAATTGTAGATTTGATACCTTTAGCTTCCCATTTTAAATGTTAAGAAAAAGAAAGATAAAAATAAATAATCAGGTCAGCTTATATTTAATGATCCATTTATTTTTTTTTTACTGCACTCAGGTTAAAGGAACACCTACAGAAGTCTTTGTTGAAAGAAATGGAAAAGATTAGCAATTATTTCAACTTAGCTCATTTAAAACTGTTTCACTCTTGACATTTTTAACCACCTTATTTGGGCCTAACATAAGAAATTACACTGAGAGCCTCCAAAACTGCCTTATAATGCCATGACTATCCAGAACCTATTAAAAAATATGTAAACTAAAATCTTTAAATATTTCAAAGAAATAGCAATATGAAAGAGAACATTTTCCATCCTATTTGGATGAATAGAAATAATGGTATTATGAGAGAGAAATGTTTAATGAAGGTGCCTTTTTTTTCCAGTCTATCTAAAAAAATTAAACATAAGATAAAGAAATATCTATTTTATTATCTATTTATTAAGTAAATAATCTGGTAGACCTTAAAGAAAGTTTTGTACTGCCTCCCCTAACCTGAAAAAAAATCCTAAAAGTAAAACAACAGCATTTTTCACACTTTTATTCAGCCACAATAGTTTATTAAGTTGAGTGCACAGTATGAGAGTAAGGAGCTGCTGAGCACACCACTTGGGCAGAGTGCAAGCATAGATACGGATATAAGCAAACACATACATGGATTTGTGCACAAGAACAGCTGGCGAAGAAGAATTTGTCAGAGTTTACACGCATTGAACAAGCGTGTGTGAGATTTAAACACTGCACACCTGTCTCACTGCGTGCTCAGATTGGTAACTGTGCTCTGAAGTTGGTGACACAAAATAGCAGGCAGCATACTGCACCTAAATATTTTACTGGTACCTAGTATCAGACAGCTCCAGCTTACATTGACCCCTGTACTGTATATTGCTGATCTGCAGAGTGTCTAAGCATCTCATTTAAAGCTCGTCCTCTGGTAGTTGAGTAGCAGATAAGCTTTAATCACATTATATTATGATGAAGTTCAGTTTACATTATCAATAACCTGTAGATATTAGCCTCTGCAAAAAAGTTGACTTATGTGTATGATTGCACTTTTGATGAGCCCCTTTTCATTGAATGTCCAGGATTGAAAGCCATATGATTTGTTTTACCGAGTTACTAGGCCTAAGAAAGGTTATATCTCAGTAGTATTCAGTTGTTTATTCATAAGTCTTTCCTTTGTCCATTGTTTGATTAACCTCATTCATAAAATTGGACAGGTCTAAACTACAATTAGCAACAGAGTCTGCAGTGAGAATTTCCCTCCATCCAGGACTTGCATAGGTCTAGTTTCAGAAAGGGGGCAGCTAAGATCTCTGCTGACCACACACATCCTGGACACAAATTGCTTAGACTTCTTCCTTTAGGTCAGTGCTATCCAGCATGATTTGCCAAAAAGAAAAGCAATACAACAACATGAAGATGGCTTCTTTCCCGAGGCTGCCTCTCAGTTGAATGCATTGAACACCACAAAGTCAGGACTGTCTGTTTCTTAGCTTAGAAAGCAACAGGCATACTCTCCCCTCACAATCTGCATTTCTCTTTATACTAAATAAAACAAATAATTTGTGAATGTATGTGACTGAGCTGAGCTTAGCTCCATACAAATTCAGCTTTGCCAAAACTGGAAGCCAGTTCTTTCTTGTTATTATTCTTTCGTTTGTACAAATCTTGTAACTGTCAAGAACCGACGGAGGAAGCCCAAGGCTTAAGGAACCAATATGTTTTAGCCAAGGTCAGCTGTGAGGGGATGTAATATAGTTTATTTCTGGGTTGTGAGGTGAACTGAATAATGGACAGGAGACAGACTGAATTAAATGAAATGCTGTTTATCTACATTAAACAGAAATAATGGGCTCATCCTAGCAGGTAAAATACGAGGAATAGTGTTTTGCATTAGTCTAGTGGACATTTTCAATTATATATCAGGTCCATCACAATGTATTTTATTATATCAGATGTACACTTTACAACTCAATACCTCATAATAAAAGAAACATTACCACTACTAAAATGTAAGGAACCCTGTCCTGTAGTGAAAAATATAAAATGGAAGGGGAATTCCTTTGTTTGCAAAAAAGTTGGCCCATAAAGGGAATTCTGATCTGAATTAAGCCTGATTGTATATGCATTAGGAAAGGCATGTTAAACATTTAACAACAAATACATTTGGAACAAAAGGAGTTTCAAAATCGATAATTTGAAAATTTACAGTATGTTAAATTCAGTCTTTGTGATAAAAAAAATAACGCAGAATCTGCCTATGAATACTATTTAGTTTCAGCTGTTGCAGTAAAAGTCTTAGTTAAATAAGCTGTGACCTCTTTCTACATTTTATTTATCTTAGTCGTAATTAGCTTTAACACTGATAATGTCAAATCAGAGATTTTGGATTACCCAATTTTATCAGTGGGGAAGTGAGTTCTTTCATCTGTCATGTTAGAGAAAGACTGCTGAGCATACTTTATATGACACATTTTTGAAAACTTACCATATTTTACATGTTAAAGTGCAACTGAATGAGATACAAACCACTCTCAGCTGATCTTCCTTTTCAAGTCCGATTTATGCATAATGGTAATAAAAATGCAAAGCACTTTCTCTCTGTTCTGTAGAAAACGGAGGGGGATTAACTTCCCTTATGGCTAGATCCAGTGGAATCTTATTTTGCTCTCGTTTTATCTGTGCTTCATAAAACAATGAATGTTTGTATGACACTGTCAGAGAAGATTTAATTACCATGTTTTGAAAATGTAGACATCATATGCAGACTGAGCTCCTTTCCTTTTTATTTTTTTCAGCTAACGCCTGTAGGAACAACCATCTTTTCTGGGTTTTTTGGGAATAATGGTGCAACAGACATTGATGATGGCCCCAATGGACAGATAGAGTACACCATCCAGTACAACCCTAAAGATCCAGTGAGTTACCAATATTCTTTTTTGGTGTCAACCTTTATACAGCCAAGATATACTGTATACATTTTAAAGGAATGTCATCCACATCTGAATGTCATGATATCAGACTTGGAAAGATATACTGTATGTGTGTGTGTGTGTTTTTTTTTTTTTTCTTTTCAAGCTTGAATGTTTCAGTTTATATATTGGTAAACCTGCAGTCCTAAGTCAAAATTCTGGTGTTAAAAACTTTAATGAAAATACCTTAATCACAATTACATTGTCTCTAATTTCATAACATAAACTATCAAGGAGAAATATTCTAATGTTTCAAGTGCCAAATAATGTCGCAGAAGTGCAAGTAGAGTCTCCTAAACAGGTTGCAACAAAGGGATTAGGTTGGCAACAGTGCAAAATTAGTTGAGGTATGACAGGACATCTCCTGGGATTTAAGAAGTTAATTTTTTTTCATGGAAATAAAATAGAAAACAAGCCAATGCACAGTGTAGCAGTGGGTAGTGCAGTTGCCTTGCAGCAAGAAGTGTCCGGGTTTGATTCCCGGCCCGGGATCTCTCCATGGAGTTTGCATGTTCTCCTTTTGCATGCATGGGTTGCCTCTTGGTACTCCGGCTTCCTCCCACAGTCCACAAACATGACTGTTCCGTTAATTGGCTTCTCTAAATTCTCCTTAGTGTGTGCATGAACGGTTGTTTGTACTGTTTGTCACTGTGTTGCCCTGCGATAGGCTGGCAACCTTTCCAGGGTGTACCCCGCCTCTCGATCGTAGACAGCTGTAGATGGGCACCAGCACCCCTTACAAAACCAGCAGAAATAAGCATGACGGACAATGGATAGATGAATGGATGGATGGACAAGCCAGTCATAATAGGACTTAAAACATGGTGCACTGCAGAAGACTCTGGGAAATGTCCCTACTAAAGCTCCCAACAGGTTGTTTAGGACTTCTGGAAAATCAGATTCATAGGAACAAGTGGATCCTATAATGTTGACAGCAAAGCATCTTGATTCCATACATGTTGGTTGGCTCATGTGGGTTGGCTCTCGCCCGAATAAGTAGTTATTTAATTAGCTGCTGCCACGAAAAGCTGCCTTGTATTGTATATAAAAAAGATATTCAAATCTCCTACAAGATTAGCTACCAACAGATGTCCTAGAGTTATAATGCTTGGAACAATAGCTTTTTCCAGCATCATGGAGCACCATGTACACAATCATATCAGAGGAGTATATGGAAAAGAAATGTCAGGTTTAGATGTTCTGAACCAGGTGATACGTTTTGAGAACTGATTAATGAAATTAAGAATTGAAATATATCAAAGCATGAGAAGTTATGAAAGTATTGAGGCATTTGAATAAGAAAACTGGCATGGAGTCATGCATGAAACAAAACTGAGGAAGCTTGGTGTGCTTCTGTGTAATAAAATATAGTAAAGGTTTTTTGTTTTTTTTTTCAAAATTTCCTGATAAAAAAAAAAGCTTTGATTTTATTCTCTGTTGTTTACTATTTAAAATGTAACTGCTGTAAGCGTTTGAAGTCACCCTTTTTTCAGTAAAGCATAATTTCTCCCTATCTTCCAAATACGATGTAAGCTATATTTTATGTTATCATTTTTCTTTTGTAAATTACCTTATTCACTACACTTAAATGTTTACGTGATTATTTTTGTCTATTTCTGCATTTAATTTTTGCTTCACCATGGAATCTAAACCTCTTTTTGTCATTTGATGTATTGTTACTATATTTCCCTTATTACTCTGCTAGGTCTGAGCTCATGTGACAATTCTGTCTTCGGCTTAACTTATTTGTATCATAATACAAGCATAAAATGAACCCTGCTGTTACGCTTGTTTAACCATATTCAACATATATTGCCTTAAGACTAGACTTTGTGTGTGACTCAGTATTTGCCTGTGTCTCATACCTGTATGTTTTTCAGACAGCAAACAGAACCTTCGACATCCCTCTCACTTTGTTCGGCTCAGTAGTCCTCAGAGAACGGCTCAACTATGAAGAGATAACACGATACTTAGTCATAATACAAGCAAATGTAAGTGATTTTTCCTTTTTTATTTTCAAACCTTCTTTTTTTTATTCTATCTTCTTTAATTTAGCATTCTCAAGGATTTGTAAGGATCCCTTGTCTATTTTAAATACATATATTTTATTTTATTTTTTTTTCTCGAAAATATGTACCCTTTAATATCTGTTTAACAAAGATAGGGCATTAAAGGTCCAAAATGTACCTGAATTTTTCTGTTATGAAAACTGTAATTATTGTAATTCTATTGTTCAACAGCCTTTCTTATGTTTAGTCAGCCTAAGGGAACCTGAAAGAGATTTATCACTAATGTTTTTGCTAATCTATTTGTTTGCCTTTTATTTCCCTCCACTCTATGTTTTATTAATGAAAGCACACTATATTTATTTTTGCCAATGCAGTAAATGCATAGACTGTAAAAGTTAAAGTGATCTAAACTGAGTCATGACTGTTTCACATAAGATGCATTTTAGGGTTCTGCTGTGATATGAGAACCATGCTCACAAAGGCTTCTCCGAGTGTGCTGCATGTGTTCATGTCCTAGATCCCAGTTACTTTGAAAACACATTAAAAGCCAAGAGTACACTAAAAGATTAATGTGTTTCTGAGGGCTTAAGAAGCAAGAATATCCGGTGTTTATCTGAAGAAAGCATTAGAAGCGTTTTAGGAAGTAGCAGATGTGTTACGTATCGTTTTTGTTTTTAGTCAAGCTTTGAAACTGCATGAAGCAAATCAAAAACCTATTAAATAAGTCCCATCTTTTTTGCTGTTAACTAATAGAAAAAGTGTCATATCAAAACTAATTGCATTAATAATTTGCCAGCTCATCTTTGTCTAACACTTTAACGGTCTCTTAAGAATATTTTCATGTTATGGATCTAATGATATAAATTACTTTGCAGATTTAATGAGACCCCTGAACTTTTTACATTATATTACATGACAATCACAAATATTAGTTCTTAGATTTTATATCATTATGAAGGTTCAAACCAACACAGAGGAGCAGGTTTTTGTGAAAAGGAGAAAAATAAAGGCTTGTTTTCAAAATTTCCCACATGTGAATAATCCTATCTTAGTAGACATGTTTTGTAAATTTTTCATAGAGAACATAAGAGAACAGATTGCTTTTTAAAGGTCAACAAAGGAAGAAGATAAAGAGAGTAAAATATGAAGAAGTCTGAGGCCGGTATCCCAAGTATTTAACATCTCACAGATCTCTGTGTGAAACAACCCTGATTTGCATGATCTGCCAATTGGGAAAACCTGGGCCATGCCTCATTAAACGATCAAGCAAAAAAAAGTATTTTTCTTAACCACATTTAAACACAAAAAGGCAACCTTCCACGGTAAGCATTGAAAAAATGCAAGGTAATGCATTAATCAATATTTTGAAAATTGGAGTATTCATGGACATGTGGAAAAGTTCTCAACTTCTAACTTTGTAAAATCAGATCATTTGGATTTTGAAAGCTATTTAGACATTTTCTTTTTTGACTCTTAATGGCACATTTGTGAAGCACATATCCTAAAGGAATAAGTATGCAACCCACAAGGACGAAGATAGTTTATTTTAAATTGATCCAAAAGATTTGTCAAGGATATTTTGAAGAGACCCTGAGGAAAGCAGTTTTTATTGTTAAGTGATGAATCACGTGTTAATTTGCACTGCACTTATTACATAGCATGCATTGCTTTCAAGCAATGACCAAGTTGCTAAGATTCTAATTAATTTAATCTTAATCTTGAGGAAATCTTATCCAGGTTTCCTTATTAATGCAGAGAAAGCAGATTGAAAATATTAGCAGATATAAAGGAGAGGCTTTATGATGTCTGACAAGGACCTTGTATTCCTCACGGATCAGTTGCATATTTCATGAGGACCTCACAGAAATCCACCTATTTCAGCTGAAGGTCTCCTGAAAGTCACCCTTGAATAAAAACTTAATTGTGTGTGAGAAGATCCACTCTTTTTAAGCTTCAAGATTTTTTTATTATTGTATTCAGTGTCTTGATAAACCAAACTTTATGAGTGAGATTATCTTTGTGTGGTGACTATAAAAGTGTATTGTAAATCTAAAAAATGGATCAATATTCAATTAGAATTTGGTGACAGTTATTGCATCAGTACAGTGAGGCAAAAAAAAAATATTTATAACCTAGTGACTGTGCAACTTCTACTACCTAGAAAGATGGGAGGTTGTTATTTTCATCATACAGTAGGTACACTTCAGCAATGACAGAAAAAAAAATTAAGAAAAACAATCTGTTAAAGAATTTATAATATATATATATATATATATATATATATATATAAATTTCTTTTTTTTACTGCTAAACTATGGTAGGCCCTCACAGACCTGTAACTGCTAGTGAATCTACAATAAGCAAGGAGGTTTGTGTGAATAAATAAACAGCAATAGAAAATAGAATACATTCAATACCATTGATAATCTCTGTTCATCTGGAACCCCATGCAAGATCTCATTCTATAGGGTAAAAATGATAAGAACAGTAGCCAAAAAATCCCAGAACTAACACAGATGGACCTGATCAATGACCTGTGGAGAAGTAATCATGGTAACTTACCATCAGTATCACATAATACAGAGAGGGACTCTATTCCAGCAATGTCAGGTGTGGGCCTCTGCTCAAGCTGTACATGTCCAGGCCTGTGTGAGGGTTGCCAGATAGCATATGGATAATCCAGAGGAGGATTGGAAGAATATCATGTGGTCAGATTAAACCAAAATGTAACTTTTTTTGGCACAAACCCAAGCTGCCGTATTCGGAGCAAGAATAATGCTGACACAAATCCTAAGAACACCATACCTACTGTGAAGCATGGGCTTAGAAACATCATGCTTTGGGGCTGTTTTTTTTTTTGCAAGGGAAACATGTGAAATGTGGTAGAAACTGCGCCATGAATCGTGAAACCACCTTCCATCAGTGAGACAATTCAAGATGGAAAGCGGCTGGGTCTTCCAGCAGGACAGTTGTCCCAAACATACTGAAGACAATTATGGAGTGGCTCCATTAAGAACATTTCAAGGTCCTTGAGTGGCATAGCCAGTCTCCAGACCTCTACCCAGTTTAAGAAAATTTAAGAATGGAGTTGAAAGTACAAGTTGCCCACCGAAAACTGCTTAAAAAAATGTTGTAGAGAGAATTTTGGGACCCAGCAGTCTTTACAGATAGCGGATGTCCTTGGTAGAATAGCTGTAATGATCATGTAGATAATAACTGAGAAAAACTGAAAAAAAAATTTTTTTTGTTTTTTTTTTATGTAGGGTGATAGAAAGAAATACAACAACATGTAGGATCAACAGCATTTATAAGATAATGAAGGAAAAAGGCTGATTTACCAGATTATAAATTCTATTGGTCAGATATTCGGGCCCACAGACCTGCCACAGTAGATGATAGCAATGTGTCTTAACATTTGCTGCCACCCACCAATGATCCGAAGAAGAATAGGTCATTGGATTCTGATTGGTGTCGCTCATGACTGAGCAGATAAAACTCCAAGCTTTAAGTTAGCCTGCCTTATAGTCAGGTCATGAGCAGGCTAACTGCACAGAATAAATTACAGTGCTAACTACTTACTGCTTTTGTGATGCAGAGTTATGGCTTAATGTGTCCTGGATATTCAGGACATTCCAACTCAATCCTTTATTTTGGTTTTGTGAAATAGGGCATTTCATTTAGCTTTATTACTTACCGTACACTTTGCTTGACATAGCACATACATATGGAGACTGGCTTGGCTTTTTTTGGAACTGATAGCCAGGATGCAATTCTCATGCCAGGTTGAGCCTGACTTAATCGCTTATCCTGGAATTTCTAAATTAAACTATTGTAAAATTGGCCTCTGTTGAAGACTGACAGAAGATGGCCACCAATGTTTTTACTGAGTTTAACTGTTAGAATTGAAAAAATACATATTGTTCAACCTAATTTAATTAATTTCTTCCTAAAAATGATTTACTGCCTTTTCTTTCTTATTTGTCTTTCATAGTTAAAGTGTGCCACCTTTTTTATAAATAAAAAAATGGGAAGGCGTGAGTCCCCCAGTTGTCATTGGGGGAATTGGGGAGGTCACTCAAACTCAGAATCTACACATAATTTAGTTAATGGGAAGATTTAAATGTGCTAGCCCCCTATTCTTGGATCTCTTAATACTGATTCTAAAAATAGAAATTATAAAACATACAGAGAAGATGCAAGAACAATTCTTATAACTTGGAAATCTAAAAAAAACAAATCCATTATTTTAGCCATATTTGTTTGCTTATACAATAGCAGCCATTAAGAATGGCCCTTCCCTGTCAAACGCCAGCCGAATGGCAGCCCACTTCCCTGCAACTTCCAGCAGAATCCCTTCCAACTTCCAGTCACTGGCCTTTTCCTTGGCGTGCATGTTTTTTAAATCTGACTCCACCCTTTTGTGTTTGTAGTGTTTCTGTCCTTCTGACTCCTGAGCCATGAACAGCTCGCTGTGTGCCACTGTGAACACTTGCCAACAGCCAGAAATATTTTACAATTTTCTTTGTCATCATCCCTACTGATGCGGTTTAGCCATAGATTTACTTCTTTCCACTCATGTTTGTGTTCTTGAAAGCATTTCCTTCTGTGGAAGATGTAGAAGATGTGGTGTAAACATGAGTGACAGAGAGCAGGACAGATAAGGGGGGTCCGTCTCTAGGCAACCATGACAGCAGCTGATGCAAAGCTGGAAAGGTCCAGTTTATAAGCAACTAGAATAATTTAGTTTATTTTAAAAATTTTTGTTAAATGTAAAGTTGACGTACTTGTGACATGTTTTGGAAATTTACAAAAATATCATATTGATTGCATCCCTTATTGGTTTGATATGGGATACAATTTTTCACTGCCTAAAAAGGATGATTCTGTATTTAAAGGATGGGTGGTGACACTAAGTATATGATGACCCCCTCGTTCTTCTAAGTAGGTAAACTTGCACAATCACTGCCAGACCACATACTTTTTCCCTCCACACTATCTATGCTTTTGGTTTAGAAAAGAAAACAGTGTTAAGTAGGAAAATTATTCCAGGGGGTTTTGATCAGACACAGGACTCGAATGCCTCTGGAAAAACAGCCTGTCTGAAATCAATTACAATAAAAACTGATTTTATGTTTTCAGTCCATGAAAATTGGATTAATTTTTCTGCATGTTTTATATAACCTTTTTTGTATGTTATATTGAAAAATGTTGTTTGCACCATGAGTCAAATAAGCCAGTAAGAGAAACACACAAAGACGCAGTATGCGTCAGCTATGTGTAAGCTATGGGTCAGAAGTAAAAAAATAAGAATGAGAATAAAACAGACTCTTTTATTTCCAAAATTACTAATTTCAAGCATTAATAAACGATGGAGAAATTCAATGTTGTCATGCAAATAAACAGTGAAATGCTGAAAGATTTACCAGCACTGTGCTAGAAATGTTCTGTAATCAACTTCCCAGTATATTTGTCATGATTCTCCACTTTTTGATTGTGTTTAAGTTTTCTTTTTGAGTTTTTAGTTTCACTTTGATTCATTTTTTTTCAGTGTTTTCTAGTTTTATTGGTTTTATTCCCCTTTTGTGGTGTTTTCTGGTTGTATTTGAGTTCTTATGTATTTCTTGTTTATACTCTGTTGCCCTCTTATGTCAGTCTGCTCTCCCTTAGCTTCCTTTTACTGTAGATTCTTCTGTCCACACCTGCTCCCAATCTGCTGATTAGCCCGGTCTTTGTTCAGTATCCCAATTATACTCCTCCTCTTCAGTTACTGTTTGCTGGTTCCTTATTGTTTCTGGCTCCTTGTGTGTGTTTTCCTTGATGTCCCTTGGTATTTTGGTAATTCAGTATTTTGTTATTTTTGGATTTTTGCTTCAGTTGCCGTCGTAAATTATTAAATCTGCTAGAAACCACCTCGGCTTCCTTTTCTGCATTTGAGTCCTCTGCAAACCTCCACTCAACCTGACAATGTTTTAGGACTACTACTGTATATGGATGAAATAATAAAACAGTGTAGACAATTTCCCACAAAGTTACATATGTTTTACTGTTAGTGTAAGGTAAAAAAACAAATGGCAATGTATTTACTTAAATCTCTAGAGTACACCACTGTATTTTCTTATACCGTCATTAGACTGTGGCAGTATTTTCTGGTGACATAGTTCTTTTTAGTGTTAGTATTCTTCATATATTAACTGTTTGTGCACAACGTAGGATTCTCGATTAATTGATTTAAATGTTTTAGCAATATGTAACATAAGTAATAGCTCAATAAGACTGCGATAAATTAAAAGAGGGAGATGAAATACTCAAAATATCAAAAAATAAATAAAAAAAGAGGGCACCAAAATAAATAAAAAGGCAATTCTTGCCATAAAGTGTAAAAAAAAAACTTGTATTATGGACTAAAAGTAATTAAGATAATCATAAAAATAAGAAATTTGTAACACTGCTAAAACTATTTCACCGAACAGTATATTGAGGTTTTTTTTATTTTTCCAGCAACCTTAACCTCTAAAGCAATGGGTAGAAATCAGTATTTCCTGAAAAAGATTTCCTTTTTCCATGTCAAAAAAAAAAAATGACTTGAAAAGAAACGTGGCAGGCTTTCTTAGTAAAACCTTTTTCTCCATAAAATACATGATTTTTCCTTTTCTTCTGCCTGACATCGGTCATAAAATGCACTACACAGAAAAGTATAACTGCTTTTTAAATTATCTGTAACGCATTTTTTTAAGCATTTAAGAGCTTTAAAAGAAAAAAAAAAAGTAGATAAGATGCTTTTTGTTTGTTTTTACAGTAGCTCAATATAATTCACACTTTACAGAAATATAGAAATATGAGCCTCAAAATATGGTCCTTTAATTTATAAACCAAAATTATTTTCCCTTTCCTTTAATTTTAATATTGTATATTACAAGTATTCTATCATCCTATTATGGGACATGCTCATTGGGATGGCAGTGATGGGTTTGGACTATTAAGGTATATCAGCTGACAATTTAAGAGTCATTAAGTATGTATATTGAAATGTGACAAGACCGAACAGATAACTGGACTAATGTTTTTTGCCAGAAATGTTGATGCTCCTTACTAGAACTGCTTCAAAAGGATAGCTGTGAAGTTAAATGTTACCCACTGACCAGAAACTCTTGGTGTAGATTGTTTGATATACTGCAATTAGACGTGCAGTCTTTGTATCATTATTTGATTGGATTATTCTTTATCTAATTAATTGAATCGAGTCCTTGAATATTTGTTATACTGGAATTTCAGTTATTTTTTTGTGGAAAATCTATAAAAAAAATAAAACACATGTAAAAGGTATGTTCCAGATTTAATTAAATGTAATATTTTCTCATTTCTATTCAGGACCGGGCACCCTCTCCAAGTGACCGCCGAACAGCCACCACCACACTGACCGTGGATGTGCTGGATGGGGATGACTTAGGTCCCATGTTTCTACCTTGTACACTTGTGGGAAACACCCGTGACTGTAGTCCCATCACGTATTTGGCCAGTGTTCTGGAGCTGACAGAGCCTGTAAGTGTTTGGCACATACATTATTCCCTGGATTTTGCTGGTTGGTGTGGATAGTATGCAGGGTCAGTGCTGTTTTGCTCACTGCATTCAGTGGACTTTTTTTTTTTTTTTTGTTCTATCAACACGTTTGTCTGCACCTTTTCTGATTATTTTACACTAATTGGCCTTTTTGATAATTTCATAACTAAAAAATATCTTCATAATATATCTTTAAAAAAATAATAATAATAATCTCTGCCTTTACTTAACAGGTGACTGGTGTAGCCTTTTTCATCCTCACTTTTTGCACTATGATTTAAATGGTGTACAATAAGTTGCTGTTATCTGCACCCTTATTTAAACGATATGAACGTATATTGGGAAAATATGTGGATAATCATTTATTTAAATTTTGAATTTACATCCATCAAGTTCTCTGAAATGTTAGATTTCGATTAAGAGATCTTACAGATGGTGTTAAAATGAATAAAACCTTGTGAAAGCCTGTTTATTAAAGCTCTTGAATACCTGTAAGAAATTCCCTGAGTGTTAGCCTGCTGGTTAGAGAGCAGGACATTTATGTCCTGGGAGGCTGCAAGATCGCCTGTTAAAAACTCCAACTGTCACTCTGACTCCCTGAGCAAAACCCTTAACCTTAATTGCTCCCTGTGCACTTTTCAGTGTGGCAGCGCAGTACTCCATAAGGGATGGTTAAAACATAGTGGGGAAAAAAAACCTCACTAAGAAACTATTAAAGGATTTTTACTAAGTTAGGCTCATAGATATTTTCCAAGAAAGAGTAGTGTTCTAATGCCACTTGACTTTCAACGCACATTCTATAATTTAATGGTATTACTGTTCAATAAGTATATTGTTAAATCCAAATCAACAAACAGGTAATAAGCAAAACCCAATTTTGAAAATATTACAAGCTTGAAATTGTTGATGAAGCTCCAATATGTCATCCTCTCCTTTTTCAACAGACTGACAATTAAGTAGAAATTCAATGGACTGTTATTGAGCTTAATGTATGCAACCCAGACTCTTTCCTCTTTGATATCTGCTTTAGGATCTCAAGGTAATTAATCCAGCTCTAACATTTGCACTTAGTATGTCAGGAAGAGGTAGGTGTAAAACCTTTGTTTACTCACCTTGACTTCTAAGTGCTTTGTAATAACACTATTGGCAGCACCATAATGAGAAAGGGCTTCATTTAGATGTACCTCTTTCTTAGCAAACTGAAACTAGAGATAGCAATATTTGAAATAGTCTTTGAAGACATCTAATCACTCTTATTATTTTTTTAGAATAAAAAAAATATTGGTGTGTTTTTGGTGAAGGTCAACTTACTAAGAAACCTTTATCTCGCAATTATTAAAAATCCAGCCTTTTGCTTAAGAGGCTCGTAATACAAACCAATTATTTTATACCAACAGCCATTCGACTATTAAATTCTTAAATTCTTTTAATTTTTTCGCTTTATTTATTAAGATAACTGTTTTGTTTGTTTTTTTCGTGTCTTTCTTTGTTTTTTTTAGTTTTATTAATATTGGTCGTTAAGCTCCCTGTGACATTTTGTCTTTTTTAATCATCTTTGTTTTTCTCTTTAAGGTTATTACATGTTTATTTGTGTTTGTTTGTCTTTTGTACTGCTCAAATGAATTGGGATTAATTAAGTGGTCTACGTCTAAGTAACAAAACCACTTTTTTTAAGGTTAAGAAATGATTAACAATATTTTTGGAATTCTAAGAGTTCCTTGTTTGTTTTTCAACAAATAGAAAAAATATTGTGTAGAGCAGATACAAAAAGAGAGGCGATCCTACTGCAGATATTTTCTCAGGCAATTTCTTTTTTTTTTTTTTTTTTTTGTTAATGTTTTGGAACTTTTATCAAGCAAAAATATAAATTCACATGGTCCATTATCGATGCTGCAATACATAGCAAGACTTGTGGTCTCATGGTGTTGAGATGATCACTGGATTAGAATTCTTCTTTAGGATAAAACACTAGCTTTTGATTTTTACTCGCCAATATGTCTATGTGCTTTAAACACATTTTTTTTACTTAAAAGAAATTCAATTAACCCATTTTCTACACTGCCATCTTGATGGCGTTATGTTGAAATAATGTTAAAAGTTTACTATGTAATTAATAAGTTGGTGTGTTAATCAGTCAGACACTGTAATTTTAGTTAAAAAAAAATTCTCACAGTATTGAATTGTGCTATGAAGTTTTTAATCACTCAGAGATCAGATTTGATTTTCACAGACTTTCTCACTGTATACCACATTATTTAACAAATTGAATTAAAATCTAAATGTAAGAATTATGTCACTAATATATCTTTAAGTTCATTACTAACCTTGAACATAAACAACCAAGCAGAGTTTTTTATGTTATTATTCTGGTATTGCCTTCAAATGTTTATTGGCTTTTATGTGATTTTCTAGAAAGTTTGTGTAGAAAAAGCTGCACTTATTGATGTGATATCTGTATTATTTTATCAAAGAGAAATTGGAAAAGGAAAGGGTTTGAGGTTATCCTTTTAAATCAGTACTCAAATGCAGATCAGGAGAGTAACCCAGAATTCCTCCTTCTCATGTCCATGGAAAGGTCACTTGCTTTCAGCAGCTGGCATAACAGCAATCCAGCTTTTTCATCTTTTATTCTCTGTCATAGAAGTATTGGCCTGTCGTCTTTATGACTGGCCTGATTTGCCTGAGGAATAAGAGGAGGCAACAGTTGTCTCTCCAACGGACTGGAATATTAGGAGGGAAATGAATCTTTTGGATTCCAGTCAGGATACTGTCTCAGTATAACAGCCAATGGATAAAAAGATTACTTCCTTAGTTAAGGGGGCACAGTTTCTTTCAAGCTCCAATGAAAGTCTACAAGAATATTTGCAGAGAAAAAAAATGCAGGACTGCTGCAAGCAGAAAAAAAAGGCTATTTTGAAGAAAAAAATATATACTGCCTGTTTGAAGAGATGGCATGCTCTATTATACTATATATATATATAATATCAGTTGAGAACAGAACTACATGTTTTTTATTCTTCCGATATAGCATTAAGGTTTCATACTTTTAAAGCCTTTCTCACTTCTCAAACCTCCTTGTTTCTGGTAAACAATTAAAATATAGATTTACTGTTGTGAGATTTAAACAATCTCTAATTTGGAAGGTTGAAAAGGAATACGAGTGACAGTATTATCAGACAGTAACTCTACAAACAGTAGAGGTACCTCTACAAAACCTATAAACACTTCCATTTGTTAAAGTGCAGCAGTGATCAAATGTGAACATTGTGGGAGAAAAACATGGTGCAAAGAAACGCATTGATATGATCAGTTTGATGTAAAGTCTGTGACTTGATTTGGAGTTTTTTTCAACATTCAACAGTCTGAAATCTATCTTCCAAACCTATTTATTTAAGGAAAGAAGGCTGTCTTATTACTGTGCTAATGAGACTCCTTTTGGATGAGACCATTGTTTTTGTATATTAATGACATGCTATATCATTACAAACTACTTAGGATAAAATATTTCAATAAACGTTCTTTTGACATACAGACAGATTTTTTTTTTTTTCCTGACAGATGGCAGTGGTAATCCTTTGTGTAATGACAAGTGTTACAAGACAGAGTCTGACAGACTGTGGTTTCTACTTATGCTTACACAGCACTGTGTGCAGTGCGTTTGTATCTCTGTCTCTATCATTTAGTTGATGCTGTTATCCAAAGAAACTAGCTTTACCACTTTATAGATGAAACAAAGTTGCTGCGGGGAAAAATCCTCATCTCTGACAAGTCAGCAGAGCATTTATCCCTTTCTACACACACCCACCCACACTTACTGTAAACACAAATGATTATGGGTGAACCAGTAGAGCATTCATGCCTTAACACCCCCTCCACCCACACAGACACACAATAATGTCGGGCCAGAAAGACCTGAGGCCTACCTGCAGATTGTCTACCTCATCTTTTTATTCTTGGCAAGATCACTGCCATATGTGAGCAAATAAATACACATTAATTCCGTCAAGAGCTTATTGGGGAATAACTTTTATGGTTTTAGCCTTCTATATTTTTCTGATGTGCTCAAAAAAACTCAGCCTGCTACTCATAAGTCATAATGGATCAAATTAAACATTTAAGTCAAAGTGGACAAAGTAATATAAAGGCTCAACAAAGCAACATACAAAAGAAAGGTATGGCGATTCAAAACAACTCTAGTTTCAAATTTAAATGCAGTGCTGAAGTAGGCACATTTCTTGGTTATTGATGTGGATGTATGAGGCTTCACTTATTTCACTGTTTCAACTGACGTTGATTCATACCAAAGAAAATGCTGCTCATTTCCTCTTTTCAAAATGAGCAATTTTTTGGTGATTCTTCTGTAACTTTTTGCTTAAACCAGCTGATATAGTTGCTTCAGAACAACAAAAAAAAGGTAGGCATAGCACATATCACAGTGATGGTTATAGTATGTATTATGGCCATGGTGTTGCTTCTCTACAGATGAGACTAAGGTGGATTATGTCTTAAATATTCCAAATACCAATCCATTTTGTACATATATAAATAAAATAAAAAATCTGATCTCAGTTTTGATACGGTGCCAATAACCTTTAATTAGTAAAACTGTATGGAATAGAAAATTGACTAGTCACTGTATTCCCAGATTTGTTCAATGAATTAACTCTGGTTCCTGAATGTCTAAATAAAATGTTATTTTAGAGCCCATTGTTGGTCCCAGCCTAGTTTGACGGAGGGATTGAATAACTTTTTTCTCACTGCCACGGTCTGCACCATTGGTACACCTAGTCAGGAAAGTAGACAACTACAAACTTTAAATGCTTTTTGGAAAGGAAAGAGGATTAAGGAAGGGTTGAGCATAAACTGCATTTTCCCTTAGCAGATCTGTTCACTTTGTCATAGATACACATAAAACATTGGAAAAACATTTTAAAAAATGCATTAGGATCTCAGTGTGTTAAGTCCCTAAGACTTTTCACTTA